TGATTCTCGGGACTCTTTCAACGGACCGTGTTTACGGTGTTTGTGTTCAGTGTATGATTCTCGGGAATCTTGTACGGACCGTGTTTACGGTGTTTGTGTTCAGTGTATGATTCTCGGGAATCTTGTACGGAGTGCACAGTGAACTTGTTGTTCAGTTACCTAAGTATATATTTAAATAAAGTAACAACGATCTCAACAAAAACTCGGTGGCCTATCGCCCATGGTTCAATCAAAAATTGGTTTGCACCTGTAGTACAACTGGTGAATTTCCCGTGCGACAAATGTCGACCAAAATGGTCCAATTCCCGTTTGTGTGGAGAAGTTCCCGTCTGTATATCGGCCGTGAAGTTGCCGTACGGCGTCCGCGGACGGACATTATTTGCCACTGCTGGTGAATTTCCCGTACGCGAAATGTCGACTAAAATGGTCCAATTCCCGTTCGTGTAATATGGTGACATTCCCGTCCGTATATCGGCCCCAAAACACGCGCGCGCACGGTCAGCCCTGAGTGGTGAAGTTCACGTACGGGACTTAGTCTTTCTATAGGTGGAGAGATTCCCGTATTGTGGGAAATTCTCAACCTCCGTGGCAGCCCTGAGTGGTGAAGTTCCCGTGCGGGACTCGGCACTGCTAGGTGGAGAGATTCCCGCTTACGGGAATCTCTCCCCCTCCGTGGCACAGTTCCCGCACGGGAAACTCTCCTATTCCCGTGACCCAGCTTAGCTCGTTTAGGAGTAACACACCAGCTTTGTACAGTAAGATTGCATAAGGTGGCCAACTAGTCCAAAACGTTTGGTTAATAAATCCGTCTTTATACTCATTAAAATCCGTTATTGGCCTACACGAGCTGTAAATTTCATGACAAACAACCAAACAAACAAGCAAACATAGTGGGGTCGTGTGGCGTAACTACACAGCGTTTGGCTTGGAACCATGCCACCGATCTTGTACCCTTGGAAAGGCCCTTTACACGAGTTTCCTCACTTTACTCAGGTGAAAATGAATATGTCTGTTATCCGTTGGTGCATTCGTCTGCGTTGGTGGTGGCATACATGTAAATATAAGTTGAAAAAACGTGAGTGTGCCGTCGCCTGATGTCTTGTAATGAATATTGGAATAGGAAAAAACAAACAAACTTACCTGAGAATGCCGGGGAGGTTGGGTGCGTACCGCGTGTCGGAGAAGCTGACCCCGCCGGTGTCGCGCGCCAGCTGGTCCAGCATTGGGTCTCCCTCCTCCCCGATAGCCACGGTGTAGACCGTGTGGCCGGCAGAGCGCAGGGCGGGCAGGACGGTCTCTATGTACGGCTGCTCGTCTTCCTGCCCGTCTGAAAGGATGGGGCATTACATACTAAATTACAATCTAAAAAGGTAAGGTATCTGGTAGTGATTAGTAGTTGTGGTTTATTGTTAAATTCGTCTCCCACTTCTTGAAAAGAAAAAGTCAAACCCAACAAAATCAGTATCACGTACTTATGTTGTAGAATGTAGTATCACGTAGACTCTCATATCATTGTACATATCTTCTTTTTCATACATGTTGTTTGTATTTGCAATTAGCCTTTGGGCATGTATTTTACAATAAACTTTCCATTGTTAAAACACAGTATCTCTAAGTATAGAAAATAACACACCTTCAGGGTCCTGAGCTATCAACCCAGTTGTTCTTGTAGAGGCCAGCAGTTCAAACCAAGGGTCTCCAAATGTTTTAAGGTCCATACTTTAGTGACTTCTTCAAACTTTTGTTACCTAGGCAAAAGTGAACCCACCTGAAATAAGGATGATCCTGCCGAGATGACTACCCAGCAGCCCTCGCGCCGCCTGCAGCCCGCTGCCGATGCTGGTTCTCCCGCCAGTTGCCATGGGCAACGCCCCGACCAGGTCCACCCGGGTAGTCTCGTTCCCAATCACCGTCATTTGCGCGTTGACCGTCGCTTCGTCGCTGAACGTCACGATTCCGAGAGAAGAACCCATCGGCAGGTTGTAGATGTGGCTGGTCAGCACCTGGCGGAGCTTGAACAGCAGATTTCTGCCCATACTGCCGGACGAGTCCAGCACCAAAACCTCCCTCCTGATCTCCGTTTGGTACAGAAACTCGAACGTGACATCGGGGATGTTCATGTCTTGATCAGGAGGATTTTGACCGTTGGTGAAGTCTTCTGTTGCTAAGATGGTGTCCCAAGCAGCCTGTCCGGAACAGCCGCCTTCGTTGCTAGGCGGGGCGGTTACCACACGGGCCTGGGTGGGCTCCGGTTCCGGATAGGCTTCAGTTTCCACTGCGGGAGTTTCCGTAAAACCGCCGGTAGCGTTGGAAGAGCCTGTTGAAGCAGAACCTGTTGAAAAAGAACCTTGGTCAATCAAGGTTCTGATTTTCTATTACCTAGTGTTACCTACCTTTACCTAACACGCACGCGCACGCGCGCGCACACGCACACACACATACACACACACACACACACGCACGCACGCACACGCACGCACGCACACATACGCACGCACGCACACACACACGCACGCACACACACAACGTTACTAATCTAACATTCTATCACTGGACAGAATAAGTTTCGGATACACTCATATCCCGCCCCGTATCTTTCCGTATTCTTTACAAATACGAGCTTATATGAGCGGATGCGACGGAATCTGGACACTATATGTGAGGATTATGTAATACATAAACAGGAAAGAGAAACATGGCAACTAACATTCTACAATAAGCTTCATCCATCCATCCACTCATTCATTCACCTGCGGATTCAGTGCTCGCGTGCGCCAGTGTCGTGGCGTCCGTCTCTGGTGCGGCCTGAGTGGTAGGTGCGACCTCGGTGGTCTGGGCGCTTTCCTCCGGCGCTGAGCCCAGCGCCCAACCCCCGTCCACTCCCCACCGGTACCGCCCCCACTCCTCCACTATCGTGTCGCGGGTGATCATGTTCGTGGCCAGGTACATGAAGTCGCCTTGAAACGGTTAAAACGAAGAAAAACGTAAGATCGTGTTCTTGTTCAAACATTGCATTTGTACATATGGACCATGACTGCGCCAAGGTAAGCCACACGAGAGTTAATTGCATTATCAGGTATGGTATAGGTTGAAGTCGTCATTTTGTTTGTTTTTCATAACCGGCAAACAGCCAAAGTTTTGTACATTTAAACTACAAGCTGCATTAGAACGGGTTGTAAGGTTCACAACAAGGCGATATCAATTGGTCAAAATAAGCCCAGATTGATGAAGTCATTTACCGGACAAAACTAAATTTTGATTCAATTGTTCTGAATTACTATACGCCAAAAATCGCGTATCTTATTACCTGGATCCGGATGTCTAACCTTCACCGACGCATTGAATTATTCTTTGATAAGTATTTCCCTTACCTTTTGTCCCACATGTGGTTCCCGTCCGTGCCGTAGTGCGGGTGAATGAGCCCAGCCCGCCCACCGCCGGACCCACCCTGATCTCAGCCCGCCCGAATCTCTCCCCCTTTTATTCTCAGAAATGGTATGGTATACAATGAATACTATATCTCACTATGACACTATATCTCCCTCACCTTTGGTCCCGCACGTGGTGCCGGTCCGTGCCGTAGAGCGGGTGAATGAGCCCAGACCGCCCACCGCCGGACCCACCCTGATCTCAGCCCGCCCGAATCTCTCCCCCCGGGAGTATTGGTACGACCCGTAGTAGTCCCACGTCCGCGGAACCAGGATCTTCACCGTGCCGAAATACGCTCGGCCTGGGGGTAGAAAAAGTATGTTACACCCGAGTAAAAATGAAGAAGAACTGTGTTGCAAGACTATTGTACATGGTACAGTGTATGGCAACGACTATTGAACATAGTACAAAAAGAAAAGGGTATGAAATGGACGTCAAGTGCTAGAACTGGTACGACCCGTAGTAGTCCCACGTCCGCGGAACCAGGATCTTCACCGTGCCGAAATACGCTCGGCCTGGGGGCAGAAAAAGTGCGTTACGCCCAGGGAAATATGTGTTTCCGATTCCTCTACCGACCCAAGTAGGTTGAAAGTTGAATTTAAAGCTATTTGACCGACCTAATATAACCATCATCCCCAAACCCACCGTGCCGAAATACGCTCGGCCTGGGGGCAGAAAAAGTGCGTTACGCGCAGGGAAACATGTGTTTCCGGCCTCTCGACCGATCCTCAGTACCAAAAAAGAAAGCTAGCCCGATAAAAACGCCAAAAATATAAACCAAAGCCTAAACCTCTGCGCCGAGAGTAAAAACCCGACGGTCCTAGCCTTTTTTGAGGGGGACGGGGTCGACCGCTGGCAAGGAAATAATATTTTTGACATGATTCAGGACTGGAATCGGAAACACAACATTTTGTCCTAGGCATTACTGCGTACAAGACTGGGGGAGGTCAAGAGGACAACAGGTGCCTGGATAAGGATTTTAAAAGGATGAACCTGACCAGGAAAATTGGTGGTTGTATGCAAAAATACGTCATGAGAAAGCGTTCTGAAAGAGGCTGGGAAGGTGACAAATCGGATTAACCCTCGGCCTCGATACGTCAGCGTGTGGAAAAACGCACGGGGAAATTCCCAGGTCATTTGGGTTATTTAGGTCACATCAATCTTTATTTTTGTCCAGATTTTTACCGTCATCGAGACATCTAACTTTTAAAAAATCAATTAAGTTTTGAACTTTCTGGTATAGTGACATGTGTTCTAATGACAAGAACCTCCTAACCACAATAAAGAAAAGGAAAACTGAAGTGATGTAGCCACACTAGCCCAAACTATCACTATGTTAGGAACAGTACGGTGATAAAGAAAGAGTGATAGGTAACGGAGAAGTGGGCCGGATAATATCAGAGAATGGATAGACACAGCGCTAAGTTGAATACTATAGATGGTACTGACTGTATGTGCAGAACAACAATTGTTAGGCTCCGCAGGACAAGGGCTAAGAAGAACAGAAAAATGTGCGGAGAAAATTTTTTGTCAAATCGTCTGTGGTGCCCCAACGGTTAAATAGTTAGATTAAGGAATAGATGAGATGGGACAAAATCAATACTATGTGATGACGTACCGCCCGTAGCTGCGAAGAGCTGAGCTGACGCCTGGTTGAACTTGACCCTGAGCGAGGCCAGCAGAGCGCCGTCTTCAGGCACGGAGTTTGCGATGGCGACAACCACGTCCTGGTACGCGTTATTCTGTAGGCGTGCTGCTCCGTGCACATGGAAACAACCTGGAAAATAGGAACAGGATATTTGTTAAACGAAATTGTTAGTTTGTTTACTTGCTTGCTTGTTTTATTTGTTTCTTTAAAATCGACCACTACGAACTGGTCTGTAAGCGCGCTGCACCGTGCACATGGAAGCAGCGTGTAAGATAAAATAAGACAGATATTTGTTAAACGAAATTGTTTGTCTCTTCGTCTGTTTGTAGAGTGAGAACAACAAAGTGCCATGTTCTGTGTCAACCACTACGCCTCGGTAGGCGTTATTCTTGCTGTGGTAAACCAGCCGTACGACTTTGCCCTTTTCACGGTGTTAACATACAAATAGAATGGTCTGAGGAAATGAAGTTAGACAAGCGAGACGGGACGTGGTGAGAAAAAAATCAGATCGGGATTGTATACGTCGGAAAAGGTTGCTAATTTCATAAAGGTGATCTCAAATTGTGAACGACATTCGGCCGAACTTGTTGACCGCCAGAGGGTCCCGGAATCTCAAAATCGAGAGTCCATCCCCGTTCAGTGTGATAGGGTATATTTTCAGGCAAAAATACGTCGCCAATGGCCACATTGCTGACGAAAATGTCCTTTTGAGCCGTGGGAGCTATTTTCCTGCTTTGTGATGCCGAATTCTACCGCGAAAAAAAAAACATGAGCATAGAGCGCCCGCCTGGTCTGTTGATACCTGCCACCTAGTCACGGTCCTTGGCCAAGGACTGTTATGAGGTGCAGTTGTCAGCGGCCCCGATTCTAGGTCATAATGTCGATTGGTTTGGTACATGTGAACGATTCTGCGCATATACTACCCGATGTAGCGACCGGCCAAAGAAAGAAAATATCTATCTAACCATACGATCCATGCAAAACGTTAAGTTCACAACAAACCAGACCGTTCCGGCCTTGATTGCCAGATTATACGCAAAAGAAAGCAGCCGCAAAATGCACCAAACCTTAAGAGAAGATATGTTCATCGGGGTGCCGGTCACGACGAAAATCTTAACATGATGATACGAAGTTATGTGCACTATCTACCGCACGACTCCCTCAATGTACTTACACAGAAAAAGGCAGCTAACAAGTAATCCAAGAAGCGCCGTTCTCCTTCCTGTACGCGGCATCTTTCCTCGTAAATTCCTCGCGTCCTAAGAACCCAGAAAACCAGCCAGCCGCGGCGAGAACTCGCCCAGTCTGAGCCGCTCGCGACAGCACCGGCCTAACAGACGTGAGAACCAATTTCTAAAGTCTGCTAACGAAGTTACATTGTTACAAACTCCTGCACAGGTCCTGCCTTTGTGATTTTCTTCATGACGTCCTGAGAGGACTATCGTTTTTCATCAACGTTACAGTAACGCGGGGAGAAAATTAAAAATACTGGCTCTGTTTAGTCCAGGGCGGCCGGAGCTAAGGGAATGTCTGAATGAGTCGCCATGACAACTGTTTCTGTGATCGTCAGGTGTTTTGGAAACGAACAAAAAGGTCGGCAAACGACTTTGACCCGCCGCGATCTTTCTATAACGTCTTTATTATCACGTCTTGTGCAAATGTTCGTCGTAAAACAAAGTCCGATGTTGTTTTCACTTTTATAAAGGGTAAACATGCATTAGCACCATTTACATCCACTCACTTTCTGAACGTGTGAATATTGTTGAACACTCAGCCCTTAAGAGCGAAGATTATCTCGTTATTGTGTTTACAACTTTCTTACCCGATCGTCCGGAAAGGAATTTTGAAGATTTATACAAGAGCCGACCCCACGTGCGTCATCAAATCAGTATGAGGCTTTTCGTAGCCTTTGGTTAGTAGACTTCTGTAGTCTTTATGCAAACGGTTTTATCCTGATATCCGGCCATTACATATAAGATCAAATACTATACAGAAAAGAAAAATCGACTCAAATAGGCAAGCTGGCTGTAAAATATAATGTGTATCATACGTAAAATACGTATTTTTATTTACTTCATATTTACCACAAAACAAGGCTCATATCAGCCACTCAAATGTTTTGAATTACTGTACTAGACAGTGAGGACAGATGTTGGGTTACTGTACTAGACAGTGAGGACGTAATCTCAATCCAGTTTTATTTTACTAAAGGGCGAATTTTCCACTGATTGTGACAGAGAAATCTGACATTATGTGCAGTATATACAGGTTTATTGTAACAGGGAATTACATGGCTCTTTGGGAGACAGACAATGATCAGTCCACCAAAGGACAGGGACTCAAGTTTCCCTTATTGTTTATGTCAGGTGAGCAACCTCTCGGTCACAGAGGAGATGGAACACTGTCCCCCTAGCATCTTTCCCTCAAACTGCAGATAACCACCCCCGTATAAGTGCAGGTCCGGTCCGCACGGTACGGGGTTATCTCGAAATGTAGCGGGTATTGGGCCGTCAAACTCGGTCAGAGGATGGGCGAACATGTTAACCCAATACTGTGCTATAACATTTTGCATATTATCCAGCAATTGTCTTAAAATGGGCAAATTTCTAACTTTTCGGTCGTTTTTGAGACGATTTTGCTGTTGTGCGGACCGGAGCTGGACCGTACGAACCGGAGCTGGACCGTGCGGACCGGACCTGCACTTATACGGGGGTGACAACAAGCGTTTAGAACAGAAGTGGCGTCGGATAGCCAGGTGGCTAGGCTAGCGGACACGAGACTTAGATCTAGAGGTCGAGGGTTCGATTCCTGTCAAGTGGTAATTATGAGACGTTGGGTCCTTGGAAAAGGCACTTTACACTACTACTTTCCTCACTCTGCCCAGGAAGATCTTTAGGCGTGAAATAAAAGGCAGCTATGGGGTTACCTCTACCTTTAGAATAGTTACGAGTGAAATCGGTACACTGACAGCAAATCTCACGATAGTGAGATGGGGGAAGGAAGAGAGATGCCAAGATTCTACACTTTATGTTTGGAAGATCTTTAGCTGTGCATTTCATGTATTGTTCCTTTGACGCTCTGTACTCTGGTGTATAGATGTTTGACCCAACGTAAACTTTGTAGTTATAGGGACTTTTTACCTTCAAGCTGAATCATTTTTCACTTCCTAGCTTGTAACCATCTGAATTCCTAATGATACTACGTAGACTAAAGGGAAAAGAAAGGGGATAAACTGCTAGTTATGTCGACGTTAGTAATGATGTCGACGATAGAGGCATAGCGTTTGATGGTTTCTTACGTATTTACTACTAAGACGAAAGTTTCCTTAAGTGTTTCCTTAAGAAGATGAGTCACACAAGGAAGTGTCACCCATTTCCTTAGCCCCCATCTTGAGACGTTTCTAAATATTTTCTCGAAGACGTCAGCGGTACCTGCCGCCACCACCTGTTGTGCAGTACATAAGTTGGGCGGTACCATACTCAGTCTAGGGGTGACTTACAAGTACGCAAAAAGTGCCAAACACATTAAAGCATTCTACAGTACTTTTACAGTATCCTGACTACAAATTTGCATTGGTGAAGATTTGAAAGCATTGTGTATCAAGATTAACGTGAAAACCTATGGATATTCCTAAACTGTATAAAAGTCGGTCACCCTATTTTCGGTCCCCAAGTGGTACGTCCCAGTACCCCCTTTGAAGTGCCGTGTTACCTGATCAGGTGTGTAACGTAAACACTCCGGTGAGATGAACACCTGAGGACCATTGTGACAGGTGTTGGTGACTGTAACGTTACACCCGTCCTTTCACCAACCCCCCAGACTGAGACTTATAACTCTGGCGCAGGGACGGGTTTCGCCGTAAGGAGGTTTTCATCGTGGTTCTAGGAACAAGATGGGGAAAAGAAGAGACCCGATGTTGGTACTTGCTGTCTTAGCGGTGTTAACTACAGGTAAGGAGCTTCGGTGCTGTGAACTTGGGCGTTTTAAGATGTTCGTGACCTTGAACTTCAGTTTGTAGCAACCTCAGAAAGACATGGAGACATAGAAATTTTGTCTAAACTTGACAAAAGTTTCTGAGTGAACATCATGTTTATTGACGCCAAAGTTATAACCTTAATTAGACGTAAGAAAGATACCGGTACAGGTAAGCCTAAGCTTAAGTGGAGTTTTAGCTATTTTCTTATGTGTATCCTGGAGTGGTATGGTATATTAAGTCATTTGCATCTTAAGGTCAGGTTCAAACCTACTGGTAGAAGAAGACGACCTTCGCGACAAAAACTTAAGAAGACATGACTAGAGAAGGGACACTTTTTTGGGTGCTCGGGAAGTTTGTGCCTGTAAAATTGGTGAGGTGTTTTGTGTATGTCTGTGTGTCTTTGCTGCAATACACTGCATACTAATGTAATGAAATAAAGACTAGCACATTGTAAGTTACAGTAACCCTCAACAGTTAATAATCGAATCTTTCCGGCCACATACAAATCATTTTAAAGATTTCAGGGCAGTTATTAAGTCATGAACATCACCATAATCAACATCATTATATGTGTGCTGGACAACAGCGAAAGTGATACAATGTACATACAACACAAACTAGATGTATGTATTATCATACACTTAAGCCTTGGGGCAACAAATGAATCTAAGCTAGACCAGGAAACGTCTTTCGCAGTGGGCTTTATGGATCTCACGTTGGACCACTTGAATTTAAACAGGGGCTGAATCAACCTCTTTAATTATCAGTGGTGTGTACAGCGGAATTTTCTTCCGTAAGGCGACCCTATGTTGACAGTGGCAACTGTACTCACTCACGGCTGACCTGAGTCAGAATAAAGAGTCGCCTCAGCCGTGTGAAAGGTGGACAAAAGGCAGCGGGTTGTTTATACTGCCACGGGCTAAGGTATCAATACTGATATAGGCTGGGAATGAACCTTCATGACGACGATTTGGTCTGTTTTTGGCGACAAAATAAGACCAAGCCCGCACTTAATAGGAAGCCTGTCGCATTCAGGCGTATTACAGCAAAGTTTCAGTCATGAGTGCTGCAGGGTTTGAACCTACTATAATACAGTGCTCAGATCTCTTTTTGGCGAGAATAGGCTTAAATGATAGCGCCCTGTCACATATACATACGAACATAGGTCTTGGGATCGCAAACTGAGGTCATTCTCGGTATAGCCGTGCATATGTCTTGTAAAATTCAGCTGCATTGTTACCGAAAAGACTGTCTTTGATCTCTCTCTCAGCAACCAAGGTTTCTGACCAACATAACATTCAATCTGTGCTTTAGCGCATTGTGCAGTCACTGTGCTAAACTTAATTTTTTGATGTATACATTCTTCAACCATTCGACTGTGTGATTTGGTAATGGAGCCTTAAATCGTATCGACAAAAGTTTCTATGTTAAGGGCGAACATTACGCATGGTTGCACTGTTTCTAGCGTCACAACCAGAACCGTGTAACAGGATTTCCTAGGGGTGATAGGGGGATCGGTGGAGAGACTTGACTGAGACATTGTATTAAAGGACGTGGATACGGTATTTGAAGAGTGGGTCTTGTCACCTAGAGATTACATACTTGCAATCGTACTTAGTTCACTGTTAACTGCACAAAGAAGGGTTATTTCATTGAAAGTACATTAGATCGCCATATTGCACAAATACCGTCTATTACTAGTATACAAGCAACGACCAGACGAAATGCTACTTTTCAAAAAGGTAAATCTACAAACTGGTAAGACACACATAACAGTAAATGTAGCAGTAATGTAACACTTTAAAATTCTCGACTCCCTTTCCCCAGGCTGCCTGTGCAGTAACCCCGTGATCCTGACTAATAACGGCTACAGCACGGTTCTGGTGGCGATCTCTGAGAAGGTGCCGGAGCCAGAGAACCTGGACCTCGTACAGAACATCCTCACGGCGTTCACTGATGCCTCGGAGTACCTGCACCAGGCTAGTAAGAACAGGTAAGGTCCTCCTAAACATAATCCATAGATGAACAGAACATCCTCACGGCGTTCACTGATGCCTCGGAGTACCTGCACCAGGCTAGTAAGAACAGGTAAGGGACTGACATCGTCCACAGACGCCTGCACCAGGCTAGTAAGAACAGGTAAGGGACTAACATCGTCCACAGACGCCTGCACCAGGCTAGTAAGAACAGGTAAGGAACCAGAGACACCTGTATCAAGATACTAAGGACAGGTAAGGAATCTAACATCCTCACGGCGTTCACTGATGCCTCGGAGTACCTGCACCAGGCTAGTAAGAACAGGTAAGGGACTAACATCGTCCACAGACGCCTGCACCAGGCTAGTAAGAACAGGTAAGGAACTTATAAGATAATTGTACCAGGCTACTAACATGGAAACACCATCCATAGACACCTGTTTCAGGCAACTATGAACTGGTAAGGAACTTAACCGTTCAGATGAACTATAGCTAACTAAACCTCATCTACAGACGCCTGTACAAGGCTACTACGAGCAGCTAAGGAAATTTAGAATCATCAAGAGATGCCTGCTCCAGGCTAGTAATCCATTTTCCAACCTCCTTGATAAGAACAAGTAAGATGCAAACACTGCCAACCAGTGAGAGTACTTAGAATAGTACATGTAATATAAGGCAAAACGTTTATATAAAGCCTAAAGCAGGCTATAGCTATCAAGAAATACTCTTACTAGTATAGTACTTACTGTCAAGTAAAACATATAGGTTTCCAGCCACCAAGTAAACAACCGTTACAGTAGAGTCTTGTTACCTCTTGATCAATGACTATGAACGATCAAGTTGAGTCTGTACTGTACATGCTTAAAAACAAAATTTGGCCTTTCTCCAATCCCTAGGGCTTACTTTAAGGACGTGACGGTGCTGATTCCGCAGACCTGGAAGGACAAGACCGTCTACGAAGACGCGACGTTCGAGACGTTCGAGAAGGCGAACATCAGGGTGGACCTGCCGACTGCACACAGGTACAAGATAGTAGTTATACATGTACCTTAGGCTCATAAACATGTCCAAAATCGCAAGCTTTTGGCAAGTTAACATGGTGCATTTCGCAAGTGCAGGGGTCAGAATCTGGTGTACAAAATGAATGAATGATTGACATTTTAAAAGCCTAGCACAGTGCCTTATCTGAACTCTTTATTAAAGAGTGTGCAAGGTAAAGGTAAAAATAATACAGTGTGCATCAGATCTTTTCAATGTTTCTTCTGAAGACATGATTATATGTTATAAAAGCAATTCTCTTTCTTTTTGAAGTGATGGTTTTTCACATCTTAAGGCTGATTCCTATTGCAATCTTTTTTACGAAGAAGGCGGTGGTTTGAAAAGAATATGCTTGGTGATCTACAATGCATTTTCTTAGGAGCTAACAATCTGCTCAGCCAATCTATAAAAAGTCAGTTTGAACGGACAGCACAATATAGTGAAAAAGCATCAACAATTCACACACAATGTTCTTAATATTCCAGAGGACACCGGCCGTTCACGCGTACCTACGGGAAGTGCGGTATGATTGGTGCGTTTACTCACGTGACTCCGGTGAGCCTCGGCCTGTCCACAGCAGGAAGAACACTGGTGCACCACTGGGCACATTACAGGTGAGGACTGTACTCAAACTTGGTTCTGCATCTTTGTGTTTAAACTAGAAAATATGTCAACAATCTGAAAAGACAAAAGGGGCGTCCGGCACGACTGCCCATTGACTTTAAATGGTACAAAAAAGTTCTTGACAGTTGGAATATAGACAGAGATATCTATGGACGAGGAAAGCTTAAACTTTGAGAAAGGGTGGAGAAAAGTTTGTTTGGAAATCTGAATGGGGATGGAATGGTATGTGCATTTTTCAGAGTTTCTTCTTTTGTTGTATCCAGTTTCATTGGTTGTTTAAAGGTGTGATTTTTCTTTCTTCTTTAGCACCAACATTGACCATTGCTGCAATCTTTCCTGGTCCTTTTGAATTCTTAAGTTTGCTAGTCAGTGCTCAAAATAATTTTTCTGCACTGCTGTTGAAAATTAGGTGCAGGTAAACATAAAAAATTCCTGCACAGCTGCAATTTTACCTGCGCTAACCTGCATAAGTTATGCCAGGTATTAATTACTTGAGCCCTGCTAGGACTGAAAATGTTGTCTTTTACAGATGGGGAGTGTTTGACGAGTTCGCCACACGGAAGACCAACCTGTTCTACCAGAACCGTGACGGGAGCCACAGCCCGACCGTCTGCACGGCGGGAATCCCGGCCAAGTTTGTGGACGAGCGCAGTGAGGTGTGTCAGCCTGGGGACGAGAGGACCCGCGTCTGTCACTACGAGTTTGAGTCCGGCACGTCGGCCCAGGCCTCCGTTATGTTCCACCCGGAGTTACCCACGGTACGTGCAATAAGAATTCTAGCTGTATAAACTCCAGTTTACACGGCTAACATACAAAAGGCTTCTCGAGTCGCTACGACTATAAGAACTCCATCCTGTTAACCTTGTGGGGGGTACGGTAATGCACAGTGTTTGTTCCAGACCCCACAGGTCCTGGGTTCAAATCCTATCATGTCAATGATCTTGTGCCTTGGGAAAGGCTTTCCTCACATCTACCCAGGTGTAAAATGGGTACCTAAAGTAGGTTGGGGAGGTAAAAGGTGGTGGAAGGAGAGGGATGGGCTCCATCTTCCAATACCATGCCCTAGACACGTTGGATAACAATCAAGTGAGCCTACGGCCTAAAAAGGCTATGTGGAGTTAGGCAGAAAGACAGGGCATTAAGTCTTTTGTAACATTTCTGCATAGATTTTTAGTTCCAGGTACTGATCTTTAGGTAGATTCTCTGTAGTGAACTTGAGGGTACTACAACAAAAGAATCTGGCTTGATGTTTTCAGGTGACAGCCTTCTGTGACAGCGACCCGTCCAGCCCAAACTACCACAACTTCCACGCCCTCGGCTCCGACCAGAACCAGTTCTGTAACTTCCGGTCTACCTGGGACGTCATTTCCAGTTCAGATGACTTTTCAGGGAACAACAACCCACCAAGAACAGTTTACGATACTACTCCAAACTTTAAGGTAATGTTATTTGCATACAGCTAGCAAGTCCTCTGTAAAAATGAAAGCGTCCCCGACGGAGAAACGCCCGTCCGACGCCGTCCCTGTCCGTCCTTAGTGGGAAACGGCGTCCTGACCGTCCCAACACAGTTGGCAGCGTCCACAAACTCCCGCCGGACGGCCGTCCCAGAACTTAGTGACGGCACCCCGTCGCTCCCAGCCCGTCCTGAACCGTCCGGCATGGAAACGGGCGTTTATTAATTAATTGACACCAGCAGTGGCCGGCACTGACGTGCTTCACAATGTTTCCCACGGGGTTTTAGGCCTCTAAACGCACATGCGCCAAGTTTGAAGGCGCTAGATTTAACCGTCACTCGGCGTCAGACCGGGCTGGCTGGAGGGAACACAGTGCTCAGTCGATCTCAGTTTTTTCCATTTTGTTGGATTGTGTGCAATTTTGGAGGATGGATTTCAGTCATACAAGCAGCTATATCTTCCGTCGACACTGCACACAAGTTTGGGCATCTCCAGCGACTGACTAAAATGTCAAACGAGGTGTTCCAAGAATGTAAACAGCGGCCGCCAGAATTTCTGGGGTACGGAAGCAATGAGACTGTTTCGGCGATTTCTTTTCGAGGAGACTCGGTAAGTGGACAAGAATTTTTCGTTGTCAAATGTTACAAAGGAACTGTGTAAGACGGTGTTACAATTGCTTCATCAGAACATTAGTTAATTCCAGGAGCTGCTGAGAAGTTCGAGGTTATTTCTTTGTTGACGTCCTGGCCCCGAGTGCCCTCCCCACATTAAATTTTGTCACAAGAGCCGCCGGGCTGGTAAATTTCATGCTGTTTTAACGCCGAAAAATAAAAAGACGCAGACGAACGATTTGTAGAATAAATGTGTACAATACCTGCTGTTTTAATAAGTAATGATGATGCCGTAAAAATGTACATGTCATGAAAAATCTTACACAAAATCCAGCCAGTTCGGCCGTTGCATGGAAAGTCCTGACGTCACGGCTGCCATCTACAAACGCAACCGTCAATGTTGTTTTCATACGAAATTTTCAAGACGCACAAAAACTACGTAGAATATAACTATACAATATACGAATTTTAATGAAGAAAGATGACGATGTTAAAATGTCCACTTAGGCAATATTTAACTTGTATTTTTTTTACACCCTGGCCCTTTATGTTTGTGTGCGCTCACAATGGCTGCGGTTATTTGCGCCGGACCATTTTCGCCGCATGTTCGCCACTGTTTACAGCCGCTGTTCAACATTTGTTACTCTATATTTTTGACGAAGAAAATAGTTTTCGTTTGATCATGATATTCTCTATTTACTTCACTTGTATAATAAAATACTGTTACAATGTGGGCGGCCGCTACTTGATTCGATGCCAACATTTTTCTACCTCAATGTTTTCAATTACTATATCGGCACCTTCTGTGACGGGACGCCGTCGGAAACGCCGTTCAAACCCCGTCGGAGCGGCAAGATCAAAATGTCCACAATGACTGAGCACCCCCCAGAGACCCGTCCGGCCGTCGGACACGCCGTTTGGACCCCACCTGTGCCGTCCCAAGCGTCGCCCGGCCCCGCCCTGGAGCCCGTCCGGCAGCCCGTCCAGCAGCCCGCCCGGTAGCCCGTCGGAAACGGCGCCCAAACGCCTTAAGAAACGCCCGGACGCCGTCGAAAACGGACAGTTCTGACGGCGTCCCAGGCGTTTGAGGCGTCCTGGCCCGTTTTTGGCCTTTGTGAAGGCGTCCGTTGCCCCCGTTTACCGCCAGGGACGGGCAGCCGTCCCAAACAAACGGCCACTACAAACGGGCGTTTAAACGGGCGTTTCTCCGTCGGGGACGCTTTCATTTTTACAGAGGGTGCTTTCTAAAATCTAAGGCTTTTCAGATATAGTGGCGAGGTGGTCTTGTGGTCAGAGTTGCAGGTGACCAAGGAACTTCCATTGATGGAAGCTCCTTGAGGTGACTGATGATCCAGGGTTCCAGTCTCTAGCACACCCCAATATTACTGCTATGCCCTTAGGAAAGGCAGTTTACCTCAGATTCTATACCTTTCCCCCGACTCAGGTGAAAATGAGTACTGAGGTTTGAATGAGACGTAAAGCCGGAGGTCCTGTGTCTAGGGAGAGCTATACATTGAGACTAAAGAATCCGCCACACTTATTGAAAAAAGAATAGGGGTCCTTCTCAGTGATACAGACACAGAAGCTGGTGTGTTATGCTGAAGAGTGGTTATACCAGCTATACGGAAACAGATACAGAAGCTGGTGTGTTACACTGAAGGGCTATTCAGATACAGAGCTCTTGATTATCTTTTTCCACCCCCCACAGCTAGTGTACTACCGTCAGTATGCAGAGCGTGTATCCCTGGTGCTGGATGTGTCGGGCAGTATTGACGTTGGGACCCTCCTGCCCAGGCTCAACCAGGAGGCCAGCAAATATATCAACAGGTTAGATATCACAGCAAAAAACTTTTCAAACAAAAACTTACATTAGAATACTTCCTGATCTGGTGTCATTTCTCTATTTGGATTAGGGAATGCTGTGCCCCACTGCTTCAATGTGTGTCAGTCCAAGCAGAGTAGGTTGACTGTGTTTGGGTGGGGAAGATTGACAGGCAGAATGACAGGAGTCAAAAGGCCAGACTTTGGAAATGGGCTTTCTCCCACCTGTGGCAATATTACGCAATAGCCTGTCTGGAAATGGAAATGGGATTGAACGTGAAGGTCTAAGAATCTAGTTGGAAGCTAGTGGTTGACATGGGGGAATTCAGGAAGCCTAGGACTGCCTACTTCATGGAGGTTTGAAATCTGTGATTTCTTGTTTTTTAGTTTTGCTGATGGTTCGATGGTGGGCCTGATCACGTTCAGTGAGACAGCAACTGTACAACATGCCCTGACTGAGATCACAGCCGACTCACACAGACAGAGTCTCATCAATGCACTGCCAAGTGACACATACGGGGCCACTAGCATCGGGGCAGGCATACAAGCAGGTTGGTCTGAGCCTTTGGTTTAACAAGTCTAGGGACAAGTGGGTTACTTGGTAGAAGAGCATTCCTGTGAAAGAAAATTGTTGTCCCTGTTGTACAGCAAAATGGGCATCAATCTAATATCTCTTAGTTTGTTGAGCTTTTCTTCACCTGTGTACAAAGAGGAGGACAAATTTCAAGAATTAAGCCTACAAGTCTTAATGTCTAATTCATAGACTTATATATAACACACCATAATTTTTGTCATTCACTTTACAGGCCTGACAATGTTGAAGCCGACCGGCCCGGGAGGAACCATTGTCCTGATGACAGATGGACAGGAGAACACAGAACCCATGATCCAGGATGTCTGGCCTTCCGTACTGCAGCAGAAAGTCACACTCATTACCATAGCAATAGGTAAGGATTTTGGTCCTTCATCTTTAGATGACTAATAATAAAGAACCAACAAATTCCCATGACATTGCAAGTTTGAATGATTCTTGTAGGTCATTGGGATCGGACAAGAAGACACCTATATCTGGCCTTTGCAAAGAACCACCTTAGTTACATTTTGATAAGAGTAACTATATGCCAGAGTAGGTGGCAGTGGCTTCAGCTGTTCATTCCCTGTTGCAGCTTATATTCCCAACACACAGAACTGGCCAGGATTTAGAATCACTATGTCTATTTAGTGCAGTTTAAGAGAAGCAAAAATATTAAAGCAAATAAACAAAGTTTTACATATTTTCCCAGGTGAATATGCGGACATGAGTCTAGAAGACCTGGCCTCGCAGACCAGCGGTCTGAGTTTCTACGACACAGAAGACGCGGCACACCTGTCAGAGATCTTCACAGCCATCAGTACGCAGGACTCTGATGTCATCCAGGTGTCCTCGGGGTCTGTGGATGTGACGAGGACAGGAGAGACGCACACTGGGACATGCCGGATTGACTCGACTGTTGGGAACAACACCATCTTTCAGTTCACTTATGTCTGCCAGGTAAGGTTTTACAACTCTATCTGTACAGCATGCTGCAGCACCATCTAGCCAGAGCAGTTAGTACTTCAAAGAAACTGTTCAACAGTCAATGTTTTCTTTTAGTTTGCTTGTGCCTGCCAGGTGAGGTTTATGCCTCTATGTGTATAGGAAAGACCTGTGCTGCAGCCTCTGTGCTGCAGTGCCACCTAGCCAGAGCAGTTAGTACTGCAGAGAAAATACAGTAAAGAAACTAGTATTCAACTGTCTTTCAGCACCATCTTTCAGCAATGTCTTTCAGTTCAGTTATGCAGGTCTTAAGTACTAGGTACTGATACAATTCAGCTCATAACCTCCAAGTGCTCATTCTACCAGTATTTCAGCACCAAGGACAGCTACTTAACTATTGTTAATCAAGATTGTTTTTCTACACAATGTTTGATTCAGCATTGTCAAAGAGTGTTTTACATAGAATTAAACTTACATTTTCTAATATCTATGTCATAACACCGACCAAGAGATGATTTCCTTATTTCCCCAGGACATGTCCAGCCTCCCAGCCTCCCCAGTTATCCTGTACGCCCCAGATGGGACACAGTACGACAGCACGTCACCAGGGTTATTATATGTCATAGACACTACAGCCGGAACTGTACAGATCACCATTCCTGGCACTGCTCAGGTGAGTTTGCAGAGTGAGGCCCAAACATAAAGGTTGTGTTCCATCTAATGAATGTAGAAATTGATTTTTAGACTATCAACTTATTAAAAACATGTTAAGTTATGACAAGTATACCATAAGACTCTTGAAGATTGGTTCAGAAGCAATATGAAAAGAGCACCTTCAAAGCATGAATATTAAGGGCCACAGTTTTCTATATACCTAGTAAGTGACTATCTTGCTGTCTAAAGCAAATTGTTACAAAAGGAAGCAAATCATAATCTTTTTGCAAGAAATAATGACATTGTTGTTTATAACAGGAAAAAATGATTATGATAATAACAGCAATGCTGGAAAGGAAATCTAAATTCTTATATTTCAGACACTAGAAAGCCCATAACCAATGGTATTCTATTGTCTTCCTTTTTATCCCCAGGCTGGTTTGTGGAGTTACAGTGTCACAGCTGGCACCACAGCCCCCTGTATATCTCAAACCTTGGGAATCCCCAACATCAGTCCTGCCATTCAAACCTCTGTCACAACCAGACCATCCAGCGACCAACCCCCCGTCGAATGCACCGGAACCCTGGCTCACACGGTCATGAACTTCCGGGTGGAGGGTCAGAGGGTGCAGTCGTTTTACCTGGTGGTGCAGAGGGACTATGTCTGTGGACTGAACGCTGATGTCACCGTGTTCATCACTGAACCCACAGGACAGGAGGTCTCGCTAAACATGTCTGACAATGGAATAGGTCAGTGGAATATGAGTTAAGGCCTCTTCCAGACACGTCGTTCAAATGATAAATACAATTCTAAAGACATACCTCTACTATTTTATCTGCCAAACCAAGGAAAATATCACTTTGCCATGAATTGTGCCAACTGCAGTTCCACAGAAAGCTGCTAGGTTTTTTAAGTATACAATACCATGAATATCCATTCAAACCTTCATCTTAAGGTATCTTGTTCTTACAACATATATCAATTCAATTCAATTCAATTCAGTCTTTATTAAACAACTCGCAGACTTAAGTCTGAATTGTGTTGCTCATTACAATATTTGGGAAACGTTAATAAGATTACAGACAATCATCTTAAGTAAAATGCGCTTTCATTTACAAATATAATACATTACATAACATTACAAATTAAAATATATCATAAAACACATCAATTCATCTCCCCTGTTGTCCTGTCTTTAAAACTAAAGTTTAATCTGTCTTGAAAGTTAGATTAAAATAATTGATTGATTTCTCCTGGATGCATTTGAGTTCATTGAATTCTGTCCTTACAGGTGCAGACATGCTTGCCAATGATGGCATCTACTCCACCTACTTCTCTGGCATCACCCAGAACGGCCGCTACAACGTGAGGGTGCAGGTTAGCGGCAGAGTTCTCATCGATGGGAACTGTCTCGCCGGCGTCGGAGAGAGCTGGGACCCCTTCAGCGGCACCACATCATCATCATCTGATGACGAGTACTATGTGGAGATTGATCGCGTGGTGTCGCTGGGGTCATTCCAGGTCACAAATTTAATTCCGATGGAGGTAAGGGTACTATTTCTGCTGTATACACTCTTTGAGGATTTTTGTATTATACTTTGTGTTATTTGGGCCACATTAGAGTATATTGCATGTCTGTTCCACATGCCAACATACTGCTCCTCAAAATGGTCGTTGGAAGATTCAAAACCATTGTTATGACATCTATGAACACCCTATATTGACAACTACTTGAATGTGCCTCATTTAAATACTCGGGACAACTTAAATGGTATCTTCACCCCATGCAGGATTACTTCCCACCTTCCCGAGTGACTGATGTGCAGGTAGACACCTCCGCAGGTGGGCAGGATACAGTGGTTCTGCAGTGGACTGCACCTGGTGGGGACTTGGACAATGGGCAAGGTATGCTGTGATAATGCGTTACCCTGGGACTTCAGCTGGTAAACTATACTGCCAAGGCTGAACTGAGTAGCTTACAATCAATTGGACTGAGGTCCAAGGTCTACAGTGGCGGGCATTTTAAGCTTATAATCTTAACATGAAGTATAGAGCATCCTTTCTTTCTTCAACTGTAAATTCAAAATCCACAGTAAAAAGAAAAGGCCTCAAAGCAAAAGCTTTGTATAGGATATCACAGGATATTACAGGCAAACCAAATGAAAGGACAACTTCAGTGAAGGAATGGTCAATAAGAGAATCTTAGTCAGCATTTGGTATAGTTGTCTACAGCTATTGTAAGGCATTTTATACATTAGCTTCCTTTTCACATTTAACTTTTCTCTCTCACTTCTACACCCCACAGCCTCCCACTATGAAGTAGCAGTGTCCAACAACATCACCACCTTACTCCAGGATTTTGACAGTGCCGTGTCAGTCCAGCCTCAGCACTGTACAGACCAGGCAGACTGTGTTCTCACCAACCCTTCAGGCAGTGGGGCTCAGGAGCAGCTGGTCTTCACCATACCAGGTTTGTTTTTATACTTCTTTTCTTGCACCTTATAGACAATAAAGTGAAAATTCAGCAAGATCAGAGGGCCAAAATAGAGGCCTAAGGCCACACCAATTTAATTTGTTGGTTCTCGGATTCGCCTCTTCATTTTTTTCTGATTTGCAAAAAAAAAAAATTGATTCTGGTCCTGAATCAACTGAAAAATGCTCATGTTTTGCCCCCTAACAGTTAAGGAAAGTCCTTTTCTTCCTAGTTGTTACAGTTTTCCCATCTATCATTGCAGTGGTTTGATTAAAAGTTCAAAATTCAATGTTTGAATTTTAACCCAGCCTTTTGTGTTGACTTCATGGCCCATTTTGTAGCATTTAAGCCTATAATAGGATGCCTAGACCTGTTTTTATTTTTATTTTTTTTCGCCCTGTCGCTTCATATTTTTTCTGAAAAAATCCGAGAACCAACAAATTAAATTGGTGTGGCCTAAGGGTGGTTTATTTTCAGGGCCAAATTCAGCTTTAGTATGCAGCATTCAAAAGCTGAATTGCGATAACAAAAAGAAATAGTTTCAACTGTTTTTGTAGAACATTTCAGCAGGTGCCAGCTAGCTGTTTTTCAAAGACATTCAATTGATTTATCATATTTTGTTATCCATTGGTTTGTTTGAATATCAAATATCACAGCCTGCTTATTATATTGTTAAAACTGTGACATGTCATGATATGTCCTATCTAGATATTAATGTGTTTTAGTTAATTTTGTTTTCATCTATTCCTTCCCCAGATGAGTTTTCAGGTGAGACTGTGTACATTGCTCTGAGAGGAGTGGATGAGATGGGAAACATGGGAGAAATCTCCAACATTGTGTCCTACAATGTTGGCAACAGGTGGGTGTAACATGGATATAAGATTCACTATTAAAGAAACACAACTCTAATTCTATGAACAACACCCTTTGATAATGCTGAATCAAACATTGTGTGGAAAACAATCTGACTGTCTATCCTATCTAACTTGCTATTAGACAAAACAAAGCTAATTAGTAGATAGGTGGCGCTTTTAGGGGCAGCCGCGGTATTTACCTCTGTCCCTAAAATTGACGTTTTATTGCTTACAATTAAGTGGTTTTGTAATCGACGCTGGTGTAAAGTACGTCTGAACAGTTGTTGAGTATCCTGGGAACACTCTTGACTTGCTACGGGTACGATTCTTGCCTCATCCCGGTGGTTTTTTGCGGCCTGTGGTATCGGTGGCTTCGAAGCTGTGCAGCAGTCATGGCGGCCCTTCACAGATATACGTCTGGATTCCTCCGGGCCTGCCGAAGTGTAACACAGCACCTGTTGCCACAAGAGAAGACAGCACTGAAAGAGGCAGGTCTGCTAAAGATGCGTCCCAGACCAAGAGGCTGTAAAGGTGGGAAAAACCGCATACGATTCATCCCAACCACCATTGGAAACAGGCCAGCCTCAATGGAACAGGCGTCTACCTTGATATGCAAATCACTGCAATCCACTGCAAATCACATCACCATAACAACCCATCAACAGTGCATTCCCGATGACAGTGTTTCGCCTCATGTCTATACCGGACATCAGACTGCAGGAACCCATAACCCGGCGGAACCTGATCAACCCCTTGTCATCAAGGACATACCTGTTGTGAACCTACCAAGACTCACCCACTTCAGACAGCGTCAGGTTGTACCTGTTTCAACTACGAACTCTAGGACTGAATGTCAGATTGTTGTGCCAACTGTTCTTCTTTGCAACGCTCGCTCCTTGGCAAATAAACTAGATGAGTTTCAGACAGTATTGTTAAATGAAAATATTGATGTAGCAGCTGTTTCAGAAACGTGGTTCAGTGATGACGCTCCCGTTGACCTTTGGTCAGTTGATGGGTACAACGTGTTCTGTAAATCCAGACATGACAAACGCGGAGGGGGAGTTGCCTTGTATGTTAGAGATACTATTGTTGCTCGTAAACTGACTACAATTGATGTACCTGATAATGTTGAATGCATGTGGCTCATGTTAAGGCCCAGGCGCCTCCCTAGAATGGTTACGTCAATTATTACTTGTGTAGTGTATGCCCCACCTCAGTCTCCAAGTGAAGACATTTTAAGGCAGCACTTAATTGATACTGTTGACATGCTTAGATCTCAGTACGTCGATTTAGGAATCATGATATTGGGTGACTTTAATCGCATGGATGTCTCTGACGTATGTGCTGGTAATGACCTCAAGCAAATTGTGAATGTACCTACTAGGCTAAACAGTACTCTTGATCTTATCCTCACTAACCTCTCCAAGTTCTACAACCCTCCCTCTGCAACTTCACCCCTGGGTCGTAGCGACCACAACATTGTGCTGTTAAAATCAAAGCACCGGACAGTCAACAACAGATCCATGAAACAACAGACTCGGCCGATGAAGGACTCTAGCATACGTGCCTTCGGTCAGTGGGTTACCCAGTACTCGTGGCAAGAGGTGACAGAGGAGCAGGGCACACAAAACAAAGCGTCAGCTTTCTACAGTACACTACAACAAGCTATAGCAACGTATTTCCCAACAAAGTCTGCAAGGATCCACATACGGGATAAACCATGGATTTCTCCAGGCCTTAAGTCTGCCATCAAACTCAGGCAAAGTGCTTTCAATGATGGAAAGTGGGAAGAATGGCGCAAGCTCCGAAATAAGATTCAGAGAGGGATAAAGTGTGCCAAGAGCCAATTCTACAAGACTAGAGTCCAGAAACTTAAAAAGGAGAATCCGAGAGCCTGGTTCAAGGAACTGAAGGCTCTAACAGGTGGTCAGAGAAAGGAAATGACAGTTCGAGTTGAGGGGATTGACCCCGACAACCATCATGGTATAGCGAACAAAATCAACAAGACCTTCACTGACATTACGACGTCCTTGCCACCGTTGGACCTGTCCCAGCTTCCAGCATTTCTCCCAGCAAGCCCGCCTCCAACGGTCTACCCCTGGCAGATGTACAAGACATTACAGGCTGTGAAAACTAGTAAAGCTCCAGGTCCAGATGGAATCAGTGGCAGGCTTCTAAAGGAGTTCGCATACGAGCTAAGCACTCCCATAGCCGACATTCTTAACTCCTCCTTGCGAGAAGGCTGTGTTCCTCAGGAATGGAAAGAAGCGGTTGTTGTGCCACTGCCGAAGTCTGACCCACCAGACATTGACAAACTGCGTCCTGTTTCGCTGACGTCTCTTATTGCGAAAGTGTGCGAAAGCTTTGTGGCTGCATGGGTCTTGCAGGACATCGTTGGGAACATTTCCCCAGTCCAGTTCGGGTGTTTGAGGGGCCGCTCAACCACACATTGCCTGGTTAGTCTTGCTAATCAACTCTACAAAACTGCGGATGTTCGGGGGACCTGTAGCACCTGGGTACTTACGGATTACAGCAAGGCATTTGACCTTGTAGAACACACTACGGCAATGAAACACTTGTTGGATCTGGGAGTCAGACCTGGGATTTTACCGTGGATAGCCAACTTCCACTCAGGACGCAGTCAACGGACCAGGTACCACGGAGTTCTGTCAGAATCAAAACAACTCACGTGCGGTCTCGCCCAGGGTACTAAATTGGGCCCAATCGTCTTCATTGCCCACACAAACAGTTCGACTGACAACATTCAATCCCCCACCTGGGCATTTGTGGACGACCTTAACCTTATTGAGTCAAGACTCCTTTCCCATCAGTCCCGTCTACAAAATGACCTCAACGAACTATCAACATGGTCTGATAAGAACAACATGAAACTCAACCCAGGTAAATGCAAGACCGTCCATGTTTGCTTCTGCCGCAATCCTTCCCCACCACCCCCTCTCAGCATCAACGGTCACGTGCTCGAGGTCGTAAAAACCGCAAAGTGTCTTGGCGTCACGTTCCAGTCAGACCTGAGATGGGACACTCACGTTGCAGAGGTAACAAAGAAAGGGAGCCAAAGACTTCACCTGTTATGCCGTCTCCGACAATTCAACGTGCCTGCAGATGACCTTGTAACAGTATACACATGCTTTATTCGCCCTGTATTAGAATATGGGGCTCCTGTATGGCACCCAGGTCTCACGACAACGCAGCGACGGAAGATCGAAAGGATCCAAAGACGCGCAACTAAAATCATTCTTGGCCACTACCTACCCTACGACCAGTCATGCAAAACCCTGAACTTACAAACTCTGCATGACAGACGGGAAACCCTGTGCCACCAGTTCGGCAAGACCCTGTCCAAGTCTGACACTTACAACCAATGGTTACCTCAACAAAGGGGCAAAGTCAGTGGGAGGGTTACCAGACAGAGTCACAAATACGACCCATTGCCAGCACGTACTAAACGCTACCAGAATAGCCCTCTGCCGTACATTGTAAACCTGTTAAACAATGGCATTTAGATAATTGTGGCGTTGATTAGTAATTTGTATCTTTGATAATTAATTGGTAGCTTTTAAATATGTGATTGTATCTTTTTATATATGCACTTCGTCTTTTAAATATGTATTGCATCTTTTAAATATGTACATGTATTGTCACCTGTTCCGCTGTTTGCAAACTTTTAGATCGATTGTATATGTAAACTTGAAATTTGTATATGTACATGAACTCGTAATTCAGCTAATAAGCTGCGATGAGTTTGTATCGCACAATAAACCATTCTATATAATTCTGGCCATAGCAAAGGTTACTCTCCTTGGTGCTGAAACCCTGGTAAAGCAACTAGCAGGTTAGACATTATGCAAAGTACAACTTAAAGTGTAAGCATATACAAAATTAAAACCTAGACTGGCATCTCAGGCTGAAAAGTATCTTTCTTCATTCTTTAATTTCCAGAGCAAAAGGCCCAGACATAGTGATTACAGTGGTGACAGTGTTTGCAGTAGTGGTGATCCTGGTTACCTGCATTGTTGGAGCCATTCTGTGGAAGAAGGGGAAGCTGAAAAGACCACCGAGCGCTGCCAAGACCAGACCTACACAGTCTGTACGCAGGGTAAGGCAGATATCATAGCAGAATAGGTGGAAGAAAATGATCATGATTGTATGTTGACACAAAGTTCCCAGGGTAATGGGAGAATAGGTGAAGAAGAATTATGATTGCTGTCACAAAGTGTCAGCATTCTATCATGCTGCAACGCCCATGTAACTACATTGGGTCCATAAAAACAACTGCAATTTCATGTACTTGTAACTTCTATTGGGAACAACCAATAGGAATCTTATCAATGATAAACATGTACATGTACCCTCAGGCTGGCTACGCCAAAGGGCGGTTATACCGGCTATACAGATACAGATACCCTGTTCTGCATAAACCTAAAATCTATTTTATCCTTATCCAGGTATTACCTCTCTTGTTTGGTTTGTAATTTTGAATGATTTTTCACCAATGTCACCTGCTATTTCCCATTTCTGTAACAATGTAATTTCTCATTCTGCACAAATCCTGCTTGATTGGACAGAAGTTGATTTTAAATAAAACTATAATTTTGTACCTACAGAGGCCAGATGTGGAGAGAGGGGAGGGTGTCATCAGGGCAACCTTCAACACAACCCGAGTCCCCCTCCCCCCCATCGCAACCTGCACAGTGGACCGGTCCGTCCTCTTCCAGGCAACAAAAGACACAGAGGAGGACCTGGAAGAGTCCAAGCTGGCGTCCCACAAGAGGGGGGAGGATGTAGTAAGGGCAAACTTAAACACCCACCAGGCCCGACTTCCACCTATTACAACTCCTGCGAAGGGTGCGGCGGCCATGTTTGTAGCTCAGAAGGACGTGGAGGAGGATTTGGGCCCATCAGAGACGGCTTCTAAATCTCAGGAGCGGGACGAGACAAAAGTGGTGGCAACTTCGGCCAAACAGGTGAGAAACATTTTTACATTCTCATACAATAAAGTGTTAAGTTTAGTGTAGATATATCTTTGTTTAAATTTAAATTTGTTTTCCTGCAAAGTTTACTGACCAGTCATCTCTACTGTGCAATAAGCATAAGAAACCAGCTTCTTTCTCATCCACTGTTTCAATACAAATGCACCTGTCCATGGTACTAAACACCATTCACTCACACACACAGATCTTGACAAATAATGACTCTACTACATAGTTTTATGTGCCAAGATATGTAACAAAAAACTTAGGTAACTAGCCTGTTTTTGAGAAACAACCTACAATTCTCCTTGTATCATTTTTATGTGTATATAGGAAGGGGACAAGACCAGCACCCAGCTGACAGACAACCACAGATGCTTGTTTCAATGCAAATGCACCTGTCCTTGGTGCTGAACACCATTCATAAACACACAGATCGTGACAAATGATGACTGGACCACAGAGATAGTTTTACGTGCCTACAAATTTTACTAAAAATCTTTAATAGGTAACCTATTTTTGAGGAGCAACTTACAATTCTCTTGCTATTTCATGGTAGGAAGGGGACAAGACCAGCACCCAGCTGGCAGACAACCACAGAGCCCTGCTACAGGAGGACCAACAGGAGGATCTGGACTTGTGTACCCAGGCTGCTCAGAGTGCAGAAAGGGACGAGGGAACCATGAGGACTGGGGGGAATCAGGTAGGAAACTTGCCTTTGGCTTCACCAGCTTTTGTGTAGAACTACATGTTTTGTCTTTTTCTGTGTCAGGATACCACATTCCACAACTCATGAACACCTCAGAAATAGACACTTCCTTTTTTTCCTTTCCTAATCTAAAGTACATTTGAAATCCCTCATACTGTCAGGCCTACTCTCCTATCTCTAGTGGCCCTTGAGACTAATCTACTTCTAGCTATCTAGCTAAATATTACTTCTATGTTATTGGTTGTATCTGTTTCTGTTAAAAAATATAGGGAAGATATTTGACAAAATCATCAAAATATCAAACCATTTTGCTGATGTCCCAAATTTAAACACTTTGTTCCAAACTTCTAGTACTTTTCAAAATGCAAAATGTGTATTAGATGTTGTCTGTCTTGTAATAATAAAATGTTTTTCTCATTCTTTTCAAGATGTCAGACCAGGAATCATCTGTCCATTCACCCAACCTCCAACCCCCTCCTTACGAAGAGCTGTTCCATGATGGCCAAGAGGAGGAGATGAACATTGTGGATGAAGAGGAGAAGAAACGACAGGAAGAAGAGAAGGCAAGACTGCAGGAAGAGGCAAAGAAGAAGGAGGAGGAGAAGAGAAAGAAGAAGAAAAGAAAGGAAGAGAGGAGGAGGAAGAAGGAGGAGAAGCGCAGGAAGGAAGAAGAGGACCGGAGAAAGGCTGAGGAGGAGCAAGCGAGAAGGTCTGAAGAGGAACGAAGGAGGTTGGAGGAAGCAGAAAGGAAAAGTGCTCAAGACAGACTGGGAGGTAAGAACTGTCGGAAACAGATAAAGAATTTGCCTAACACTGTAACCAATACGAACTGGGTGCCAAAAGGCTACTTAGCATAGAGAAGGTTAAGCCTACATTGTCTACTTGCTATAGACCATTGATATGGTATTAGGGGTCAGTTAGGAAAGGTTACTGGACCAGTAGGTGATAATTTGGGTTTCATTTTCTACTGAATGGAAAAGTAGTAAAATCAAGGTGAAAGTAGAATGACAAGTGCCAAAAATATTTTCTATAGGTTTAAGCAAGGAGATTTAAATAGACCTCCTTGGTTTGAGGATCTCGTGACATTATTTAATTTTCATATCAAGCTCCTTGTAAGCTTAAGGTTCTAGCAACTCTATATACGTGTATCTTCCTGAAGCTACCTACATGATATCCACAACTATTTCTTCCCTATTCAAAGTTAAATACACATTCTCTATCTGACAGTGGAGACCCCAATCCTGGACCGACTGGAGCCGGCCATACAGGAGCATGACTCCGTGCAGCTGGAGGCCTCCATCAGTGACTCCTACAGAACAGACTATATCTTACCACTGTGTGTGTATAACAGCACTTCATACATTGTACTTATTTATTAATACTTGATAAGCTTTTTCATGTTAAGTTTGCTTTTTTCCTACGTGACACTGGAGACCCCAATCGAGCATGATCATGACTCGGTGCAGCTGGAGGCCTCCATCAGTGACTACTACAGAACAGACCATATTTTATCACTGTGTGTGTAACAGCACTTCATACATTGTACTTATTTATTAATACTTGATAAGCTTTTTCATGTTAAGTTTGCTTTTTTCCTACGTGACACTGGAGACCCCAATCGAGCATGATCATGACTCGGTGCAGCTGGAGGCCTCCATCAGTGACTACTACAGAACAGACCATATTTTACCACTGTGTGTATTCTAGCACTTCATACGTTGTACTTATTTAATACTTGATAAGCTTTTTCATGTTAAGTTTGCTTTTCTATGCATGACAGTGGAGACCCCCAATCCTAGACCGCCTGGAACTAGCCTTCCAACAACACAACAAAAAGTGCAGCTTGTGGCCTCCATTAGCAAATACTACAGCACAGACTGTATCTTACCACTGTATATGTGACAGCGCTTCACACTTATAAGTACTTGATAAGCTGGAATGTTTTTTTTGTTTGCTTTTCTCTATCTAACAGTGGAGACCCCAATCCTGGACAGACTGGACCCTGCCATACAGCAGCATGACTCCGTGCAGCTGGAGGCCTCCATCAGTGACTACTACAGCGCCGGCCTGACCGACGACACCGGGCTGCTACTGGAGACAGAGGAGCTGCTGGCTGCACTACAAGCACAGAAAGGTAGGGGGCAGTGCTTCACAGGAAAAACTGCCAGCTTCATGATCATCATTATACTACCACTAAAGGCTGACAGACAATATTGGTGAGGATGTGATCTAGGAATAAGTAACGTTTGGTCATCATAGCCCTATTCTTTAATGATCAATATGTGCCTTTCTAACATGGGGACAACGGTACCCTATTTTCTATGTTTTGACACCCCTATATAATGATGAACTGACATTCCAAATCCCTTTTGTTCCAACATATGGTAAGGGTTTAATAAGGATTGTTACTGGTAGGCTACATGTAAGTTGTAGAAGGGACAGCATTGAAGCTACCATCTCCTTCATCAAAAACAATCAATACTGAGTCATATTTTGTTAAAAATAGTGAGTGTTGCATGTTGGTGACCAGCAGTCTTAAGGTTGAGGTTTGCAATAGCATTTTATGCACTTTAATGAATTAAAAGTAACATATCTTAAGTTAACAAAGTTATCATTCCGACAACATTACAAGCAAATTAAGTCTTTTTGTACAAAAAGAAACTGCAAGGTTCTTCCAATTTTCATTTCAGTGTACCAAGCCTGTCATAATTAATTTAAGTATTACATGATTAAAAAGCAGATAAAAACCTCATTATTCATCATATAATGTTTTCTAGCTAACAAGTCAAAATGAATCTACTTCATGCTACCAAAGGTCAGACACTGAAACCGGAAATAAATGAATAAATAAGTGCTGCTTTGAATCAAAACTATATTCCAAGCTGTCCGTTCACATTTTATTGAGAGGAGTTCAGAGGACTAGTACTCCTCTCCCCCCTCCTCTTCATCTTCCTCAGTTGAGTCAATCCCGACCTCTTCGTAGTCCTTCTCCAGAGCTGCCAGGTCCTCACGTGCCTCAGAGAACTCTCCCTCCTCCATACCCTCTCCAACGTACCTGCAGGACAAAGGAGCAAGTTAGGCCTCACTTCATTTCATCGCCTCTTGGAATTAAAAAAAAAATTGGAGATTTCATACTTCTGGCAAATACTAGTATGCAATCCTTGATAACGTCAGTGAAGGTTACACATCCAGGTAATATATAAGATACGCTAAAAACAGTTACTCCCATGTCAACCTCTAATGTGTTCCTACAGGCTCCTTGTCAGATTCTGGTACCTCCTGTCTTTTTAATTTCTTGTCCCCCACCCACTTGCAGTCAACTAACTCTGTCCAGATAAAAATATATACACAAACCCACAGCTCGGCCACCCAAACCAATACTTCTGTTTCTGGAAGTAGTAAGCTAAACTGGAAAGTCCTGAAGGCTAGCTTTATGCCTTAAAACTTCAAGTATTTTCTTGTAGGGTTAGAAACTTAAGCAAGAAGTAAGCAAGAAGAATAAGAAGTACAAATATATGGACAGATACATCCAATAGGGTTCCTCACCAGTGCACAAAGGCACGCTTGGCGTACATCAGATCGAACTTGTGGTCCAGCCGGGCCCAGGCCTCAGCGATGGCGGTGGTGTTGCTCAACATGCACACGGCACGCTGCACCTTGGCCAGGTCACCACCGGGCACCACGGTGGGAGGCTGGTAGTTGATGCCAACCTTGAAGCCGGTGGGACACCAGTCGACGAACTGGATGGTGCGCTTGGTCTTGATGGTGGCAATGGCGGCGTTGACATCTTTAGGCACCACGTCACCACGGTACAGCAGACAGCAGGCCATGTACTTGCCGTGACGGGGATCGCACTTCACCATCTGGTTGTTCGGTTCGAACAGAACTGGGTGATCTCGGCTACAGACAGCTGCTCGTGGTAGGCCTTCTCTGCGGAGATGACTGGAGCGTAGGTGGCCAGAGGGAAGTGGATGCGCGGGTAGGGCACCGAGGTTGGTCTGGAACTCGGTCAGATCCACGTTCAGGGCGCCATCGAAGCGGAGAGATGCTGTGATGGAGGAGACAATCTGCCCGATCAGACGGTTCAGGTTGGTGTAGGTCGGGCGCTCGATGTCCAGGTTACGCTTGCAGAGGTCGTAGATGGCCTCATTGTCGACCATGAAGGCACAGTCGGAGTGCTCGAGGGTGGTGTGGGTGGTTAGGACGGAGTTGTAGGGCTCCACCACGGCGGTGGATATCTGGGGAGCCGGGTAGATGGCGAACTCCAGCTTGGACTTCTTGCCGTAGTCGACGGACAGACGCTCCATCAGCAGGGAGCTGAAGCCAGACCCGGTGCCTCCTCCGAAAGAGTGGAAGAGGAGAAAGCCCTGCAGACCAGTGCAGGAATCAGCCAGCTTACGGATTCGATCTAGCACGAGATCTATCATTTCCTTCCCGACAGTGTAGTGGCCACGAGCGTAGTTGTTGGCGGCATCCTCATACCAGAGATGAGCTGCTCAGGGTGGAACAGTTGCCGGTAGGTGCCGGTACGGACCTCATCTGGACAACAAACAAAGGATTGATTAAAATCTTAATATGAAAAGCAAAATTTTTGAATTTGATCATTATGATAGTACAATGAAGAAGGTGGAAAGTTGGTCTTGTTGTTACAGTTGTTGACTCTGAAGGTTCTGGGTTTGAATCCCTAACAGGCCTCACTGTTGTGTTTTTAGAACTGTTATCAGATTCATTTTACCTGTCAACCTAAGGACCACATCTGGACAACAAAGGATTGATGAAAATTTGAAGCAAAAGCACAGGTCCCATTCTTGTACATGATCATAATGTATGGAATGGAGTATGAATTATTATCATAATAAGTAGTATGAAGAAAATCATCCCAAAAAAGGGTGTTAATTTTGGAAAAAAATGATAATGGCAATTTTATTTTCCATAGACCTTGTAACCTTTTGTTTTATTCATTGAGTGCAAGAAAATTGGCAAAGTCTTGATAAAGTGTTACCTATAGATTCAGATATATTCCTCAAAGCAGTTTTCTCTGCCCAACACAGTAGTGTAGATGGTATTCTTTGTAATCTACTGTATAGCTACGGGCAATTAAACAACGACTATTGCATGCACATTACTGGGTGGCTCTTTTTCTGGCAAAATCAGCCCTTTCATGCACCAGATGATTTTGTGGCTGCCTCTTGAATAATTTATTTCAAACTCAACAATCAACAGGTCTGCAAATTACAGGTATGTATTCTTAGCAATGTTGACTGCTCACTTACAGCAAAATTTGTAACTTTCATCGAGAATAGAAGAAAAATTTCACATAGCAGAATTTTCTTCTGGGTTTTTGATCTCCAGAATTCCTTTGTCAGGTTGCATTCTGTCAGCAAAATTGTAATGAGCCTGTGTGAATTCTACTGTAAGTATTTGAACACAAAAGCACACAGGATAATTTTGCAAAGTGGGCCCGCAGGACTGTGGGCTCATTAAAAATTGATATCAATTGAGGCTCTAACCATGCATGGTGGTGAAATACAGACATCAGGCTATGTTTTAAAGTAAACAGCACCAGCAAAAAGGATAAAGGAATACTGCAATGGAATTCTGTGAACTTAGTGCAGAATGGAAACTGTTTTTACCAAATACAATATGGGGGTCTCTTCGGTTAGTAGCTTGGCAATCATAAGTCTCACAGGCCTATAATTTCTCATAAGTCTCACAGGCCTACAAAAAATCTACACACAATGACTTATCATTTGTTTTTACTCTGTATATGCTTTCTTTACAGTTTTTATGCATCTTTATTAAATAGCTTCATATCACAGATTGTTAAAGATTCATATGAATGATTTGGGTCTGACCCAGGTTTAACTACAGAGGATGGCACCCAGGCTTAAGTTGTTTTCTGTTTAGTGTGATTATCACCAAGACCACCTGACCACTGAGTGCTAGCAAAGCTACTGTGTAACACCAAAGGCCTGTCTTATAGCTTACCAACTACTGTGGGCTCCAGATCCACAAAGACACAGCGTGGGACGTGCTTCCCCGAGCCGGTCTCACTGAAAAAGGTGTTGAAGGAGTCGTCCTCGGCACCGAGGGTCTTGTCGCTCGGCATCTGTCCATCCGGCTGGATCCCGTGTTCCAGACAGTACAGCTCCCAGCAGGCGTTACCGATCTGGCAACCCGCCTGGCCAACATGGATGGAGATACACTCACGCTGGAAGATTCAAGATGGTTTATTTACAAAAATTAGCATTCACATGTTAAAAAATACAGGTTTACATTTTAAAACATGTTATACAGGGCCCCTGAGGATTAAAAGGCCAACCGGTCTGGCCAACATGGATGGAGATTAACTCATGCTGGAAGGGAGAAGAACACAAAATAAAGAGTTTACTACATGTAGGATCCACATTAGCGTACGTGTACATGACAGTGGCTGTTCTTCCAGGTTACAGAAAATAAAGAGTAACTGTTGCAATTTTCTTAACAGTTGGATACTCTTTATGACCTTCTTCAGTCAATCATTGGCCATGGTAAAATCCTAATTGATATGAGCCCTACAGCTTCAGCTACCAGGCTACTAAACACTGTCTTATATAAGGGATTACATAATGCATGCTTGAGGAAAATACAAAAACTGAAAACATTCCCTTCTTGTCAGCACAAATGCTAATGCCTAGTCTTTTCTTCTTTTGACATGCCTTAGATATTAGGATGACTAGTCTTGAATCAATTGATAACAATGTAAGTGATACCTACCATGGTTGATTCTTGTCTGTTGAGGGATAATAACTTGTCCGCAAATGCAAGATCGCCGGAAAAGTTGATCACTTGCGATTTGTGATGAGTCGCAGTCAACAAGTGCGAAATAAATTTTCTGTCACGGTATTTTATGGCCTTGGGTTCTCCGGTTGCCTTGGTGATGTCAAAACAGATGATGCCCATTGGTCAGGCTGTATCACATGACCAATATGCAATGACAGGCGCTAAATATATGAAAGGTCATTAATGTTGCATACGTATTCTTATTGGTCAGTTTAAATGGTAACTAAGGGAGCTCATTCCATATAAGGTATAAACATACACTATGTTGCTATAGGCAACAATATGTTATTGGGGTGTTGACCTTCAATTATAGATGATGTCATTTTTTTTGTTGCCATGTTGCACAGTAACTGCATTATTATGCAAAGTAATTACTACCAAGGTGTGGCAGTATCGTGAAATTGCATAAAACACAAAAGTGCCTATCCCTTGCAAGAATATTCTGACTTCTCATTAATAATATATCAGTGCAATTTTGCCAAACTACTGTTTTCATACCTACATGGAATTGATGAGGAAAAGACAGAGATGCTTTGTCCTCGTGGAATGACTAAAACTCAATAAACAGCAGTTTCTGTTGATTCAATATTTACTAAATGAAAATGTGTTTTCTGTTGTAGCATTTTGTAAGTGTTCATGGACAACACAAATTAAAAAGCTATGAATGGATTGTTATGAAATTTGGTAGGAGGTAGGGTCTAGTTAGGCTTCCTGTCTAGTCGAAAATGTTATTATGTTAGTTTCATGATAAATATTTCCCAAGTTTCAAGGAGGACATTGTACAAGCCTTGCAGGCTTCTTTCCTCCTCCTGCACACTGTTTTTCCTTTGTTTTGCATATTTGTTGATTAATGTTTGTCTTTTTACTTGTGCAAATAAATAAATGAATTACATAAATATGCCCTGGCTTGTTGTTTCCCCAGAGCTGACGGCAGCCATGCAGAAGCGAGACTGCAAACAGCTGGATGAGACCATCATCGCTGCGGAACATGCCGTCAGCATGTCTGGCAAAACTGCCCTTCAGCCTATCAAGGTACGTGTCTCCAGTTGTTGGCAGGTAAACAGACTTTCAGACAATAAACCAATTAGTGAACGACTCAACATTGCACAAAAGCTTCCAGTCAGCACCTTTCTGTCAATGCTGTTAAATAGTTTTCATACACAAGAAATGTTAAATTTATGGGCTTAAATGTTCAAAGACAGCTTCTTTGTAACCATGAACATTCAGTCTGCGAGCAGCATATTCATGATAGATGCAGCAGTCAGTTCCTTGTGTAGGCTATACCAGACAGCAATGAGCTTGGCCAGAAACATCAGAGAAAATGGTTTCCGAGTCTTTTAGACTACTGTCTTATTTAGATGCATGAACACTTATCAGCTGTTTACTCTTGATAAGTCACTGAACCAGAGTACTATGTAGAGCCTTAGCCTATGTCAGACTCTGTGGCTATTATTCACTAGAGGACGTATATGCTTATAAACTTGCATAATAGAAAGAAAATGCTCTGTTCCAGGCTGTGAGGAAGGACCTGCTGACCAGCAGGAGGATGGAGATGAAGAGGAGAGCTGCGGAGGAGAAGCGAGGCGTGGTCCAGGAGCTGGGACACCAGATCCTCGACGCAGACAAAGTCAGGAGGCTGGAGAATCTAAGGCATGAGGTGGAGGCCTCAAAATTAACTTTTTTCACTATTGTCCCAGAATTGTCCCGAACATAGATTTCAATTGTCCCGAACTGAAGATGGACTGTCCCAGCCTGCTTTTCAGGAAATAAGTTGATGACAAAAATAAGAAAACAACAACTGAATTTGTACAACTTGAAGTCCACTTTATTAGTAAATGTAGGGAAATACATGATAATATCATGGGCATGGCACCGTCCCTGATATTTGGAATCCCTGATTGGTCAAATTTAAATGTTTGTCAGAGTATTATATATTTATAGGCTGCCAGCAGTCTGCAGCAGGATGGATGGATCGCGTTCCCAAATGACGTGGATGGTCTTAGAATTTTCCAATTGCCCCAAAATTGTCCCAAAACGTAATTTGAATTGTCCCAAGCTGAAAATTTAGTGTCATTTGACACTGGGACAATGTTAATTTCGAGCCCTGGGTGGGGGGAGCTGATGTTGTGAATTGTTGGAGTGAACTCGTCATCAAGATAGAATACTTGATATAAGTCTCAAACTGGAATATGAAATATAGTACAGTCTGAACTGAATTGTATGTATTGCAATCACATAAGGTAATAGTGCAGACGTATGCATATGTATATTCATACTTGTACAGACACAGTAAGTTGCTCTATTCCAAATCTCCAGAATAGTAGGGACATTTCTATACTTGGTCAGTAACTAAGGCATTAAGCTGATTGTAGCCAATTCATGTATGGGTTTAAACGTTACAACCTAATGTGCAACACTCTTTAATCCATAAGATGTTTTCATTTTTGTGTGATAATCAAATCTTTTCCCATGTTTCCCTTATTATAGGTATTGCAGATGAACCAGTCGACAATCTCTGAGATCAAAACCTACAACAGCCCTCCAAAGCTGGTAAGCAAGTAAACTGGTTCTTTATAATCTTGAAGTTCATTTTATGTAAAGGTTTTGGGTTTCAGGAAAGACAACTCCCATATATTTTCCCACATTTTCAGTGTGAGAATTGAAATGAAAAATACAACCATTGTTTTTCTGTTCTTCAGGTGCACCAAGTGATGGTTGCCACCTATCTGCTGCTGGGGGTGAACGAGTCGGAAACACAGGTAGGGAGGGACAGCTATTCATAGCTCTACACAGGATTTCAAGGAAAACTTTGCAGGGAACCAAACCTGTGATCTCTCAATCTTTTGTCCACTAGCCTAGCCAAAGGGCCTTTCCACACTTGTTTATAACATAACAGAATTAAGTACCAATAACCAGGAATCCTACTCGCTTTGGCTTCAGAACTGTTAGGACAGTAATAAAATTTCCATACTACCAACACAATTTTCAATATCTTGCGATACAGGATTTCTAAACCACAATTCCTGCCCCTTGTTGCTGCAGAACTGGAAAGTGTTTAATCAACCTTTCCTACAGACACTAATGTTTTCATACCTTGTGACACGGAGACAGGATTACTAATTAAATTATTCTTGCTTCAGAACTGGAAGGACCTTCAGGCCCTGATGGGTAAGACGAACCGTGAGGGACTGAAGCGGAGAGTGATGAGACACAATCCTGACAGGACCCAGCTGAAGGCCGCCATGAGAGCCAAGCAGCTGCTGGGGGACTTCACTGTGGAACAGATACAGGACATCAGCGCAGGGGCGGCTACTTTCTTTGTCTGGGTAAGTGGGGAAAAAAACTACTAGAACTAGGGAAACAAGTGCTTCTGCAAAAGCTGACCATTTTCGCCGCTTACAGGCTTACAGTTTTTACGAACATTTTCCCCATCCTAGCATTTCAATTTACCTAAGTTATATAAATGGTTCTAGTTCTCATCAACATTGTATATAATGAGAGAACATGCACTTCTATATTTCAACTCTTTAAGTTTAAAACATTACAAAAATCAAGTATATAACAGTTTATAACCTGTTTTCTCTCTTTTAAGAGTCTTTTTAACAGAATAAAAAAATGAGACACAAAAGTACATTTTAACTTAAATTATAAGTAACGTTAATATATATATATATAATTTTATTCAAAATCTCTTCTATGGCTTTGTCCCCAACATCTAAGTTTACAAACCTCGTGACATTCAACCAGGGCTTTAGCCAGCGCCCGTTTTACCGTCAATTGACGGTATTTTTCCCGTCGGACGGTAAAAATTTAAGTCCTTACCGTCAACATTGACGGTCAAAAATCGTGGGTGAAGACATTAAACTTAGCAAAAAATGTAGCGAATTTGAATGAGCCACGGCGCGGGGTCTTTCCAAAGCGCGTCGCGTCTTTTCAAAACGCCGCGGGCCCACACATTTCTTATTTAAATACGGCGGGAAACCTGACTTCAAGGAACGTGCCGATGTCTGTTAACTCGGTTCTTTTTTCAATGTTGCTGTCTGTTTAAACAACATGTGCTAACGGCCACATAAGAACAATGGCTCGACTCAGACTCACGCTGGTAACTGTACATGACAATAAGATAAATAAACAACATGTGGCAACGAACAAAGAAATATCAAACGTTTTGAAAATATACTGTACTTGAATTTTCATACCATCGCAAGAAAACGGAGATCGATCTACGCAAAGTGGCTTTATTATTTATATAAACTTCGTTAAACCACCTTCGAAGACTTGAGCGGCAGCATAAAGATAAATTTTCTGGAGCCGATCGCTGAAGCAAGTTTTTGCCGGCGTACGTAACTCCCTCCGCGGCAAAATCCCATATGCCGTAGCGAAATCGCGTCTCAGCACTTCCCCAAATCAACTCCATGGCCGCTAAAGTCTGCAAATGAGGTTAAACTTCCTCATTTCGGTTGAGAAGCGAAGCTACTAGTATAAAATCATGTGCATGGCGGCCATTTTGTTTGCTACCCGAAGTCTTCCGAATGATCTAAATAAGGAAATCGTCGGAAATCTGAGCCACATCCCTCGCTGTCGGCATGCGCTCGGGGCTGGCTCGGTGGAAATCGGAGGCTGTGGCGTCAGGACTAGGTTTATTTGCATGGCTCGGGAAGCCGCCGCGGCTTGAATCGCAGCGGGATTTGGGCGCCGGGCGGGTCAAACAAAGGGGAATATGAAGTTGTGAGGACCATAGTTTTTTTTTCATTCTCAAATTGCAGATTGTGTAATTTTTATCCTGAAATCTTGAAAATCTATCTGCAAATTGCAGACTGAAGACGGGTATTTAGAACACTGAATACATGAAGTGTGCGGGGGAGCATGATGTCGATCACCGGATCATGATTTTTTTTCGCGTTGACCCTGATTCAACCCTAAAATAATACTCGAAGAGAACTTCAAAAGTCATCTTTTACTAATCATATATAATTGTTTACATTATATCATTTGATCAACCTGATCTATTAAAAATTGTCAATGGAAAATACCTTGCCAAACAATGCAATACCTATTTAAGTTAATTAAACACTCACTCATTAATTAATTAATTTCCTAAAATACAAAAGACATGTTGGTGAAAGTTAGGCACCCAGGTAATATAAATAGTTCCACGGACAGCTATGTAGGCCGGAGCTTCTATTGCGTGCGATCTACGTTTGGTCAGAAAATAAACCCCCCCCCCAACACACACACACACAAAAACACCGATCCGGGAACGCCTGAAAAGGAGGCTTTTAATAAGCTTTGCCTGCAGCGCCTTGATTGGTCGGACGTGTGACCCTCTGGACTGCCGGCTAATGGAAATCTGAACATCTAGACTAATCCACACTGCTAATGCTCATTGACATAATTTATGGAGTTTATTAAAATCCTTGATTACTGTGATTATAGACTTGTGTCTATGTGTCTTTATCAACATTTTTGGCAAATAATAAAATCAAGTTATTGTTCAAGACAAATTAAGTTTGTTTTGTCAGCAGCTTTGTTATGCAATATTAATAGAACTATGATTTTGAAATTAGCAACCATAATGGAAAGTATACAAACGTCCAAGGCATAAATGGTAAAAGTGCACTCGCAACAACGACATCTAGCGACATGCGGCAACTCAGCATGTCTGCATGGCCGTCGCAACAACGACATCTAGCGACATGCGGTGACTTAGCATGTCTGCATGGCCGTTGAAGGGTGGAACCGTCGAACCGTCGAACCATCCAATCTCAATCTGGTCTGAGTTACCATTTTCGCGCATGCGAAAATGGTAAAAAAACTACTAGAACTAGTCACTCACTAGTACTGAAATAAATAGCTGAAATGCAGACAGATACAGGACATGATCACTGGGGCTGCCACATTCTTTGTTTGGGTAAGTGGCAAAACTGTCCATAAAAGACCTAAAAACATGTCAAAAGTAAGCCTAAATCACTGCATGGAAAAAGATTCTGATCCTGTCAGCAAGCAATATTAGTCAAAGTCAACTTGGCATCATTTCTGTGGGGCAAGGAGAGTCAATAGTGGCCGCCTCTATCCATCGACTGCCTTCTGAAACCACTAGTAAACTTGGCAGTACATGTTAGTATCTATGCAGTATGATGTCTAACTCTTTTATGTTTGCAAATGTGCACATACAACCTACAGTTCCTTCTTCGGTTATTAAAGGCACATATCTCGTCTTTTTGCAGGCCAAGGGGGTGATTCAGGAAGTGACTGACAGACATGAGAAGGTGCTGGTGTGACCTGTCTGCCAAGTGTGGCCCAATGTGAAGTTCAACTTCTAGCGTTACAAATTACCTTCAAAAGGAACTTGACTATCTGTATATGCATACTTAAAAATTCAAGAGTATAGTTTGTATTTTTCTACAGAGTGTATAGTTTGTGTTCAAGAGTGAAAATATATGTTACAGTAAGTTATTGTAAGTCTGCTGTGTGTGTTTTAAGTTATTGATGTGGAAACCTGTTATAGTTCATGACCTATCCATGTTGCTGTTTGAATTTTTTCTCACCATATATTCAAACTATTTTTATACCAGCTTTATGGTAACCACTACAATTGTGCTGTGAGTACTGTACAGGCTCTAATAAATTATAAAGCTCAATAAACTGAATGTGAGAACTTACTGCTGTCTAATGAGTTTAGTATGAAATAAGGCGAAACCCCTTCAACTTCTATCCCATTGCTTATCTAGACATCAGAGGGTGTCAGTCCATTATCACGTCTATTGTTGAAGCCAAACTCTTCACTCAAAAAGTAATCCCTCAAACAGTTGCTCGTTCTTAGAATGCTTGTTGTAACCTGTTATTCTGATACCTAACTGTATATGACACATCCACGTCCAAAAATGCTGCAAACCGATCATTTGAGGCTTTCTGTAAACTGATCATTTGAGGATTGTGACTTGGCCGTTGAGGGTCAAACATCTTCCAAGGTTCAAGAAATAAATAAAAGACAAATCAAAGATACATACAGATACATACATGTAAAAGCCATCTTTATTACAATAAAAACAAGCCAAGGCAACAGAAGTGGCAGCTTTTACACATTAACTCGTGTTAGCATCCCTACAAACTTCTCTCGACTGTGTTACATAAAAGCGCCCCCCTCCCCACGATGGCATAGACCCTAAGTATAAAATACAGCAAAAGGAAGCAAATATAAAGAGACAAACGGATATCAGCTACGAAGAATAAAGAAGGGGGTATAGCTAAGACAGGCCGCTACGTAGATTGTGTAAAAAGTTTCCAACATTTGAAGCAAGGCTAGGGGGTCTTGTGTGGTTGCGATAGCAATAAGTCGGCAGAAAATCTGGTGTGTTAAGGAGTCTTTTCAAACCTGTCTGCTATGGGGTTTAAGTCTTTAGTATTTCAGTGTAGAGATTACAAGTCGTACTTAGTGCTGCTATACTGGGCCGGTACACTGCCCCTAAGAAACACAACGTCTAGCTACGAAATTAAACATACAACTAACAACGTCTTAGTTATATCGTCAATCCAACGGAAAAAATGGAATGCAACTAGAAATACATAAAATTCCAAAGCCATAGTAAGTAATAACACGTGGAATAGCTCTTCCCAGAACTCAACTGGGGTACAGTAGTCACTTCTGCCTTGTTTTCTTCATCTTTTTTTGTGGATGCTACGACGCTACACACTTCTGATATGGAATCTTTTAGACGTATTTGACTCAGCCGTCTGGTATCTATGTACAGTAAGTAATATTTGTGATCTAAAAGGGACGTCATGAGTTGCTAAAATGATTCAAAAATACAGTAGAATTCACTCTCTCTTCTTCCTCACGGATCCTTCTTAATTCTCATGACACCTCTACAAGATTTCTTCTGTGCCCACAGAATCTTCCAATCACATCACTTCTTTCCTTGCTTCCTTGCTCGCCTTCTTGACCCTAAAAATCTTATCCAAGTATTGTCTTCCGAGCTTCTTCAGTAAACTCTTTCTTGGAAGTTCATAAGGTCATCACTATGGCAACAACGCAAACTGCACTCGTTCGTTTTAACTCTTCCTCTCGCACAATTCTCTCAGCTGCCAAACCAAAAACTTTCAACACAAAGTGAACCAACGTTTAACTTCAACAAAAACCTTTCCCTGACTCAGTTACCAAAAATACTCCTGTCTAAAGCCTTCTGCTGTCATCATCTCCTCTCCCATCATGCCTCAGTGCAGGAAGTGACATCACAGGAAGACACTGTGGGCAGGGCTGGCTGCTGTCAATCATGTGGTAATTTGGACCAAACTTGATTTTCTCCTCTCATTCATTCATCTCATCACTCGCTCTTCCTCAAGGCATCTCTGGAGAGAAAGATCAAAAGATAATTGGTTAGCATCCAAGTTTTGTTTTCTTTTTTTAACTGTAGACTGATGCGCAGTGAAAATCACAACTTTGTACTATTCGGTAGCCCCTCTCAGTTTTGTGTTGAAACAATCATTAGTAACAAAATGGGAAAATACAAATTGTATAAACCTGTGCAGGACAGGTGTGGTTGTCTCTGCATCCCTCGTTGCCAGTCAGACAGAGTGACTCTAGGTGTAGGTTAGACAGGCTACATGGGGGTAGTCAGGCTAACTTCACACTTAAAGTCACTATGTCTGACTGACAACTGAGGGAATGCAGAAGAGAACAGAAATATGCTTGCTTGTCCAATGTTCAAAATGAGAGGCTATTTTGAGTACTGCAAAGCCAAAAGCAGTGAAAACAGAATGGAAATGTCTCTCACCAGTGTTTTACAGGTCAGTGTCGAACCATGCCAGCTGGTTGTTGTCCCCACCCTGTGGTGGGAGACCCTCCAGGCCAAGGTCGGCTGTGGGGATCCCAAGGTCAAGGTCCTGGGGGTAGTCAGAGTGGGAGGGGTGGCCACCTGTATGGGGAATCAATCAATCAATCATGGTTTCAAGAATGTGATTTCAGACCTAGAGACCAAGCAGAAATTGGCAAGAACCACTTTAGTCCCTGCCATGTTTTGACACCATTTCCAATGGTACGAGTTGTAGTAAGCAAAAACAAATAATGTACTAATGAGCAACGAAAGATTGTGCAAAAAAACCCTCTCTTATTTATAAAGAAAACATCAAAGCAGTTGGCAAGAGGAGTACACATCCACCCAATTCTAAGGTGTTTTTATTTAAAAAGTGTCACTGACCTCCACCAAATTCTAATGTATTTTAACAAGTGATAACACCCTCCCCTACCTGCGGCTCCCTGCATGTGGTGCGGTCCGCCAGGCCCAGGTCCCATGTCCATGTGGTCCATACCATGGTCGATGGGGGTGTGTGGGGGCTGGTCGTGGTACGATCCTGTGGAATACAGGCCAGTTCTCGGTTGAACTGCCGATTGAGGCAGGTTAATGGCACAGTCACGCACACAGCAAGCACGGGAAACAAAAAAGCACCGACAACGGACAGGACAAGTTAGTTGCTGAAGCTGCTTTTCTTGCCTGAGTTATGAAACATTTTATCATAACATTTCCTTTTGCTTTGCTTGTTTTTGATCATAACAGGACTTGGCTGGTCCCACAGAGCACAAAACATTTTGCAAAAATATTTTAGCACTATGAGAAAGAATTACGTATTCCCTAGCAACTCCCTGTGTCCTGTCCATGCAAGCTAAGCAAAGCTACACATTGATTCTAAAGATTAATACACTACAATCAAACTATGCAAAAAAAGCAATACAGGGCTCCAAATATCTTTCTTCTGCAATTTCTGATTCATGACAACATGCCATGTCGCAAGCTGTTTACATTTTGACTCAATTTTTCTTCAAATTGCAGGCTGAATATGGGTATTTTGAGCCTTGCATTTGAATCAAAATCTACAAATGCCACTAAATCAGACAGACGGAAGCAAGCTGGACTCAGAAGCAAGCGAAAGCAGGCGAATCCAGACGCCACACTGCACGACACAGCACTCACAAACCAAGCAGAAGGAAATGCGAGTAACTGTACTTACAGAAAACTTCCTTGCAAGCCCTTAGCCCTCGGACCATGCAGCAAGACCCAAAAACATGCAGTACCTTCAACCAGAAGTGCCACACAAACCTTGCGCTTTTGAATTTTAAGTTTCAATTTTAAGTTTTCCTTAGAATGAAGATAAAATTTGGACAAACTGCTTGAAACATAACATTCTTTCATTTTGGGGCAAATTGGACCACATTTTGACCTACAAAAGGCTTCTAGTTTGGTATATGATACGTGTTTCATTGACCAATAAGAAAACAACTTTGTGAAAAGGCAAATCGTGATTGGCTTGTCTAGTTGACCAATCATGAAGCAATTAAGTGTGGGACTTCTGCTTGGCAGTTGACAGAAAAGTCAGGATGTGAGAATGAATATAAACCACATTATGATCTGGCTCTTAGGCTGTATCAACAGCTTTGGAAAAGTACTTTAAAAGTAATTTAAGTTAAAATTTACATTAACTTAACTTTTCACCCAACAGCATAAGGCAAAAATGTTTGATCTTAACATGAAATTATAGAAATGTTTCTAGCTGATTAATACAGCATTTGAGAGCCAGTTCAAATTAGTCTTGGCTAACAGGACTTCCAGCATTCTGTTCCTTGTCCCCAAGCTGAAATGCAAACAATGTCTGCTCCTAAATGTGCAGCAATTCCGGAAGAAGCTACTTCAGTCAGAACTTCCAGGAATGCGTGCCCATATTAGGAGCAAACGTTGGTTGCCGTAGTAACGACCGTGAACTCCGACGAGGCCTTACCTTGGTGCGGCTGTCTTCCCATGGTGCTATGCTGTCCGCTGTGCACACTACTCACACTACTGTGATGGGAAAACATACCTTCCCCGCGGTATGCTGGCTCGTCTGGGGGCATCATCATCATCCCGGGGTCATGCAACTCGTGGGGCTGCAGAAAACACAGGAACAAACGTTTAATATTTGTTACTGTTACAGCGCAACTGGAGATGATTTTGAAAACGTCAGACGTTTCAGCCAGTATCCATTAGCTTTCGTCAGTGACTGAGAGACCAGAGGAGAAATGCAGGTTTATAAGCACAAACTATTGATTGATATTTTGTTTGTTTCACATAACTGGTAAACTGGCTCTAGGTGTACCACACAAAGTTTTGTGCAGTAGCTAAAAGCTGTAGAAGACTGGACTGTAACAAAATGGCTAAAAGCTCAATACTCCAAGGCACAAGAAGACAAAGACACAGGCAAAAGAATGTCTGTTGAGCTAGTTATCTACTGGTGTATACTTCAGTTTCAGTTTTAGTTTTCAGTTTATTTATTTAACCAGAAGATACACTCAGGTCATTTGACCTGTTTTTCAGGTAGATCTGGGTACAATAAAAATGCAGAAACTTCAATCAGACCCCTCCATGTCAAAAGATCATAAAAACTAGAAGACAGTAGTTCATGCCGGTTGCTCTAAGTATGACTATGTCTACAACTTCAGACAACAGCTCTACTATTTACGTTGAAAAGAAGCAAACAGTGAGAATCAGAAAAACAGTAGAGATTATCAAAATTTTTCCCAAACAGGTTTATTTTTAACAGCTTTAATTTTAGTTAGATTTCTCTTTTGTTTTGTTCAATGCAGTCAAGTGTATTTTCAAGATAGTAGTCTCATTGCTGGAAAGTACAAAAAATTTGCCCTCTCACCTCTGCCCATGGCATGGCGTCTGCCCTGCAGAGTGAGGAGGTGAGCTCAACTGACAGCCTCTTCTTGTAGTCCTGCGGCTTGTCCTCAGACATGCGGAACAGCACCGCGGCTGCATAGGTGGCTGGAGGGAAAACAATAATACATGTCAACAAAAAAATAGCTGTACGAAAAGAAAAGAATACATTTACCAATGGAAAAAAGGAATAAAGGCATCATGGAAGCAAAGAAGACCTTGTTGTCTGCAAAAGATGGACACAATGCACCGTACATACAAATTTTGTGCACAGGGTTTTTTAAGTAAAATGAGCTTTTGACCAAAATTTAGTGTTCCAACATCTAGCTATCACTCAGGGCAGTGTAGATATTTTCACCTAGGATTTCAGTAAACTGCTACAAGAATTGAATAAAATCCTGTACACTTTTTACGTCCTTTCACAACACTACCCCTACCTTTTAAGCTCAGACTCAACAAACCAAGAAACAACACCTACCAACACCCTCGTTGCGTGAGTGCAGGAGCTCGGTGAGTGGTGCGGTGGCTCCCTCAGCCTCGATGATCTCTGCGCTCTCCTTGTCCTGGGCCAGCTCACACAGCACACCGGCTGCCACACGCTGGATGTTCTCTATGTTGGAGTACAGCAGCTGGGAACAAGAATTACAGATTTAGCATTGGTCTAGCCTGTTTAAAGCTGATTGGGGTTCTTCAAGAGCTTGTGGGCATACACCTCTAACTCAGGAGAACCATTCCTACAACCAAAAAGGGATCGGGATTTTAATCGCTACAAAAATCAGTCCTAACAGGAGGTCAGGATTCCCTGTCACAAATGGAAACCAGTCATCACAGACATTTATAATGGTAGCAAACAGAATTCAGTCTGACAATTGATCCATGTTAGCACATGTGTCTAAATAGACAAGATTAAGATGTGCCCAGTTCTCCTGACTTAGAAGTGTTGGCAATTAAGCCTCTAGGAGCCTTGCCACTAAAAGGGTTTCCAGAAGTGTGTTATAGTCAGGCTAGGGGCCTGACCAGTGGAAGAGAGCTGCTATAGTGGTGTAGTCAGGCTGAAGTTTCCCTCACCTGAACGAAGAGTGGAATACAGTTCAGGCTGCGGATGACAGCGCGGTTATGGGCGTCGCGGGCCAGG